AGGCCACGTTTTAGACAAGAAGTTCACTGCGGAGGGAAACAGATTCATGTCGAGAATCGAACACGAAAAACAATGGTAGCTACATTCAAGGCTTTTTCATCATCATCATCATCATCATCATCATCAGTGAGGTTGTACGGTCAATGTGCAGCTGAGCACCTCACCAGTTCCAGCTAGATATCGTAGGTAAAAGCCAAAGTGGGATTCGTTCATGAATAGCTTGTCTCGAGCAAGTAGACCGGGCGGAGCCCATCTCTCCTACGGTTAACACACAGCCGATGTCCTCTAACTTAAAGGCTCATTTTACCCATGGAAGCGTAGGTACCATCCAGCCTGCGATGTTGTGTCATCACACATCACAGACTGAATACATAGCTATGGAGTCTAGTCTATCCAATTGTGCTAGATGCCCATTGACTCTACATCCGACTTTTGACGGTTCTTGTTTTTAATACTGCTGGGTGTCTAGTGGCCCTCGTTGCCAGAAGAGCCTGCTGGGGAAACCGGTTTAATTGCCAATGGCCCAACCATGCAGCAGTTAGTACTGGATTACAAGGTATCAGTAGCACTCACAGAGTGACCTGACATAATTTTTCAATATCTTAATCTAAATATAATCTATGGGAAAATGCTTCCTTCAAAATCTCAACTTAAACAGAATCATTTATGTTAAAAAAATAAATTTGAATTTGATTGGTTTTATAATAGTCTGCTTGAACGTAGAAAAACTGACACAGAAAAACGCTAAAGTGAGGAATTGGCTTTTTTCTTTTCTTTTTTTAATCATTTCAACCCAAACAAGACAATAAAGCCACTAAGACGCAAGAGATAACTGAATATTCTTTAATATGAGAAAAACACTATTAAGAAGAGAGATTATTAAAAGAACAAGAATTAAGAAGACATTAGATTTTGATTGACAGCGCATTTAAATTTTTGCTTGTTTCGATGATGTATTCAATAAGAAAATATCTTTGTATCTAAACAAAGACGATGATTGATGCTTTTTGCGTATCCGAACGCACATCCTCATATTGCAAACATGACGCAGCGAACAGTTTTGGTGCTTGGGTGAGATATTCTTCCCCCAGTCTCTATATTTTCTAGATCTTTCTGTCACTTTCTGATTTATTTACATTCATTCAACATTCCTTATTTTGGCCAGCGGTTCCAACAAGTTGAGGAGATTGAAAAATTCCTCTAAAAATCAATCATGTCAGAAAACGGAAACTCATTTTTATGGCGAAATGCGCGAGTTATATGAAAGTTGACGTAAGGTAATAGAAAGCTCAGAATGTATAATGATGTCACGAATTTATATGAATGAAAGTTTTTCTTAAAAATCTTATGCTGAAAATTCTAGCATCTGCCTTACGCCATGAGCGTTAATTTCTCCCTTTTATTTAGTTTTATCTTTGGAAATGTAAAAGACAATAGGATAACTGTAATATTAGCCGACGCGTTTCGTCCAATGTGGACTTTTTTCAAGGCAAAAAACGAAATGAATTTATTAAACAAAGTAACTAATAATAACAAAACAAAATGTCCTTGGCAACTGGAAGAATTTAGAGAACGCTATTATATTCGCACTGTTAACTGAAAATTACATCAGGTACTGTCACGTGTGGAGTTATTGTTTTTATTGCTGTGTTGACGGATTCAAACATTTTCTTTTGATTTCGTGATACTGTTGTGTACGTTTGCTTGGGAGAGTAGTAATTCTGAACCTAGGTTCAGTTCAATATTCTTTGTAGGTTACCCAGTGTTCAGTTCAGAATTTCCGGTTCAGTTCAGTTCAGAATTCCCTGTAGGTTAGTCAGATCAATATACACCTGTGAAAGGACTGAGGGTACAACGAGCGAACCGTTGTTCAGTTCAGAATTCCCTGTAGGTTATCCAGATCAATATACGCCTGAGGAACGCACAACAGTCGAAACGTTGTGATAACAACAAAGACGCGGTCAATAGTCCGAATAGTGAAAATAATGGTAACTCCTCAGCACAGAAATTCAAATAGAAAATAAATATTTATTGCTATATAAATATATCGGTGATATATTACTATATTATTTTTCTTTGCTATGAGCATCAAGGTTGCTTCACTTGTTTCATCGATGCACGGGTGCATGAACACCTTCCGCAAAGAATACAGTGTCAGTCAACTAGAGCCACCTTTTCACCTCTATAAGAACCGCATCATCTGTCTAGAACACCTTCCCGGATAAATGTTGTTTGATGGTCCCAAACAGATGGACCTAAGTGTGGTGAAGGCGGTAAAACATCCCAGCTATCCCACTCTTTTTTCAGGTAGGACCTGTGTGGGGAATGATGTTATTACGCAACGGAACGACACCCTTGCGCAAACGTTCTGGTCTCTGTCGACAAATGGATTCTCTCAGTTTGTTCAGTGTTCTACAATATCTAACTGCGTTAAGAATCAAAGAATACAATATGAAGTCCACGAGCAATACGCATTTTGCATATAGTTGCTATCAATTTCTTCATTGACTACTGAAATTTGAATTTGATCAGTGCTTCCAGGTGTAGACTCAGCGTTTGTAATTTTTATATATATATATATATATATATATATATATATATATATATATAAAGCATGCTCCTAAAATGTTTCTATTCGCAGTCTATACACAGAGTTCGCGGAAAAAAGTATACATACTTCAGGAAAGGAAAAACGTGTATAGGTATTGTAATACTAAATTTATTCTGACATCACGAGATGAATACAAGTTACTTTTGAACACTACAATCACATGTGATGCGTTAAATGGTGGCCTTCAGCTTCCAGACATTTATTAGTACGCCGGACAACTGCTTGGGAAACGTTGGCCAAAGTGTCCAATGGGACTGCTGCATATGCATTTTAATTTCTAGTCTAAGGACTGTCAATGTAGCCAGTTTTCTGCTATACACAACATCCTTTAGGGTCCACCATAAGTAAAAGTCTAAAAACTACGAAGGACAAGTTTTCCCTTCCCTTATATATATATATATATATATATATATATATATATATATATATATATATATACGCTCGAATAGCCATTTTAAACAGCAAAATCACTGGGATCAATTCTTATAAATTTTCATATGATAATTAAATTGTTACGACTGAACTCAAAATACAATATGCCGCTTCAATTTTTCAAGTATTTTTCATTTTTATTATTATCATGTCTCCTCAGGTACCTTTTTCTTTATTATCTGTGAATGACCCCAGCTTCTTGGGAAAGAGAATGGAATAGTTTCCCTATTTATGAATTCAGTGTCATTCTTCTCTTAGATTGGCTGCCATCAAAAGCTAGAGAGTTCAGTTTACCCTGCTGTTTAGCCCATAGCTGGGTGGTGAGAAGAGGAAGAGATGGATACATTCCTTTCCCAGCAGTATTTGTGTGAAAGTGACTGCAACAAAAAGACTCGGACGGAATATGAACTCGGCTCGCCGATAACCATTTCGCAGCCACTTCACCACTGGAATATATAATTGTGTACATGCTTACAAAAGTACCCAGTGAATATTCATCAGCTCAGTCAAAACATGTGGAGGACACAATGTGCCATAATTCAAAGTCTGGAAAGGTAAAAGTAAGCGAGTAATATTCAAAAAATATTTCTTTTAATAAATGAATATTGTGAACGTTCTCAAATTTCAAATCCTTGACAAACTAATGGCATCCTTGATGCTGTATATAAACACGTGCAACAGATTAAATCCTACATTTGACTTATAAAGTCCCTCAGAGGACGAAACGCATCGGCTAAAAATAGTTTTTCCTCTTGTGTTTTTTTTCATGTTTTTCCTTTACAGATACACTGTATCTGAAAATAACACACACACACACACACACACACACACACATATATATATATATATATATATATATATATATATATATATATATATATATATATTAGGATTATACTAAAGTATACTTAGTACAAGACCAGGGAGACACTCCAGGCTGCTCTTAAAATGTTCATGAGGTGCATAATATGAATAGATGAAGGAATGACAGAAAGAGAAGATTATTAGTATAAGGATGGTATATAATGATTTATAAATTATTTTTGCTTTATTTATTTTGTATATTTTTCGATTCTAAAGTTTGGTGTTTAAAGTAAGATTAATTGCATTTCTGTTATGAGTTATTAACTGTTTTGTATTTACAGTTGTGATGGGGTTGTAGGTAGCCTAGTGGGAATTTGTTCTCAAGTTTTCATCTTTTGTGTAGGTGTTTGTATTGTTATAGAAAAATGATTATCGTTCTTTTCTCCTTTAGGCAAAAATACTTGTTTTTGAGGTGGCGCTGTTTTCGTCAGTTTGCATGTGTGGTCCACGCAGTCCGTATTTGCAAGCGCACTATTTTTCCTCCATAATTCTCGGAAATTTTAAACACTACATTTCAATGCACCGGTCTCGTGGAATTGTATCAAATGCATCTTTATAATAAAATTACTTATTAATGCATTTATATTAAGCATATGATAAAACATTTTATCAGTTACGCCTGGTGATACACTTTTCTAAATTTCAATGTACATCGTAGAAATTGATTACTGAAAATTGTTGAAGAAAAAATGATGTAATAAAATCATATTGAAACGTTGCCCGCATATCCCGGTTTTAACAAATCGGCGCTAAATTGCAAACGTGATTATTTTTTCGACATTTTTTTCTCCCTATTGCCGGAACTTGTCTCCATTATATCAAAACAATAATTAGAATAACCGAGTGTTTTGACTTGTTTGTTTAATTAATCACCACCCAAATATCACGGGTTAAATAAACATCTCGTGTTTTGATAACACCCATGTTGTTCAAGGACAAAATAACTAGCAATTTTGATGTTTATGATACTGAAAAAAAAAAAAATTATAACACCAGTGAACTGTCACGACAATCAAAAACATAACTTAGTCAATCAAGATTCGGTTCAATGAACCAATGTATTTTTCTCATCTTTGATCAGCTTTGTTCTAATATGACACCTTTTTACAGTACACGTATACGTAGGTAATATTTGTTTTAAATTAGAATAATTAAACTTTAAATCAACTAATACTTGTAAAATATTTTCAGAAAAGTATATCTCATTTTTGAAAGATTTTTTTAACTGGCAGATGGCTAAAAATGGCTAAAATCAACGATTTTTAGCGATTTAAAAAAGAATTCCTAATCAATTTAAATTCGTTTTGAAATACAGCAAAGTATTTTGCTTATTGAAAATATTAAAGTTAATCTGTTAGCTTGAAATTAAAACTAAAATAAAACCTCAAAGAAAGATTTTCCATTTTTAAAAATTCATTTCAAAGTGAATTTCAAAGATAACATTTAGATACTTATGCATAAATCTGTTGGACAATATTTTGTTCCAGTAAAATTTCTTTCTTTCAGACTGCTTCATGATTCCAGTTAACGGTAAAACGTGAAATCAGCGAGTCGATTTCAATTTCCCTCCTAGTCTGCAGCGTTCACTTCGTACCAGTATCCTTGCGGAAAGGAACGAATGCATTCCGTCTCCCTCTTCCTATGGGTTAAATAGCAAAGTAGACAAAGCTCTCTCACTTTAGAAGGATAACTTTAAATTCAAAACAGTGGAAAATGGAACAGGAAGTCACTCTTTCTTTCACAAGAAACCGTGGCAATTCACTGATAAGTAAAAAGGAATCTAGAGAGCCGTGATGTCCTACGTCCTGAAGGAACATAGCATTAAAAAATCATTTTGATATCAATCGGAGATCTCTCAGATAAAAACAATCATGAAGTTGGAATGAAACCCAAACATCTAATTTCAACAAGCTATACATTTGTCGTAAAGCCAATATTTGTAAACCCCAATTCAATAGCTCCCACACACAATGAAACTCTATCTATTCACTATTAATAATATGCAATTTAGAAAAACTAATGATCAGACAAACAGGAAGGTAATAATTTATATAATTAACGAAAAGAGAAAAGGAATTACAGTCGGTGGATATTCCGAAATCAATACAATTGGATTCGGCTTCCCATGTCCCTCAACCGAATGTTTAACTAGTGCAATGATCACGATCACACACACACACACACACACACACACACACACATACATATATATATACATATATATATATACATACATATATATATATATATATATATATATATATATCGAGAAACGTTGAAAGTACAGGGATACTTAGCTTTACATTTAAATTTATAACTTTTCGGCGCCCGATATATCCAGATGCATAATTTAACCGATTTCACTTAGCCTTTTATCACGTGTGTTTTTATTTTTATCGCTATAGTTTTACAATATCCCGTATTGTAGCAGTAAAAGTTTTGTTAGTTTTGTTGTATGATCTTGGAGGTAAATTCCCTGTGAAAAATGATTCACTTCCAATAAATTTTCGCCTGAGTTAAAAATTGTATTTATTAAACAAAATTATGGTCTCCCGTATAATGACTACTGCATTGAGTGTATTGTTTTTGTAAATGATTCCTTTTGTGTTCATATAATCATTTTTATAAATTCCTAGATGTTTCTTCGGATACTTTCATAGCCTATTTTGTAAATTCCTGCTTCGGGTTTCAGGCTGTTATGATTTTGTTTTACGTTATTTAAATGTCTTTTTGTTTGTTTATTTTTTGGGGGGGTTGTTTTTTTCGTAGTTGTAACAAATTTTATGTTAAGCTTAGATAAATTCTTTTCAATTGTAGTCGTTATTGGGTTGGTAGGTAATATTATGAACCTAGTTTTATCAACATTACTGATATTATTTTCTTTTCTAATTCTATGAATGCGACTAGCTTTATCCTTTGTGTTATAGATGAAATAATTAGGCTATAGGAGGATTTAAAAGTATTTTCAATGTATTCACGTAAATGTTACAAATTCCAGGTGATCTTATATATATGAGATGGCCTGAAGATTGGTGTGGACCGCATTGTCCAATCTTATATTTACACGCACTCTATCCCGGATTACTTTTACTCATAAATATACCATACCTACCTTATATATATATATATATATATATATATATATATATATATATATATATATATATATATATATATATATATATATGTATGTATATATTCCAGCTATGGATAAATAGCAGGATAGACTGGATTCTATAGCCTTGGATGGCAACTGGTCTCGGAGAAGGACAACTGTGAATTCAAAACCTGCGGAGGGGTTTGGGGACCTTGTGGCACAGTGCACCAGGTCTCTGTATTCAGCCCTTCAAAAAAGTGTGGATGGTTCTACACAAAACCTTCACCACTATAATCAAATCTCATGTGCTGGTGTCGGGCTGTCATTTTCCTAGGAACTGATCTGCTTCACCCTCATACGTCGAATTCGACGGTGGGGGTGGGGGAGAGGCGAGTATATATATATATATATATATATTTATATACCAAATTGTAATTCGTAGGGATTATTTCAAAGAGTACTTTTATTCAATATGGGAGCTCAGTATATTATACAGATTAAATTATAATAATAATTAGGAAAAATCTTCAAAAGCCATAGTCAGTAATAAATTTATTATGATGGATATAAACATATTCATCTCATCTGAATGACTACATGTTATGAAAAACAATAATTTCATAGTTTTTTCTTTGTGTTATAGATGAAATAATTATGCTATAGGAGGATTTAAAAGTATTTTCAAGATATGAAAAGGATTTTAAAGTATTTTCAATGTATGAATTTTAGGAAAACAATTTTTTCATAAAATTTAGTCAGTCTGATGAGATCAATATGCCTATATTCACCGAAATAAATTTATTACCGACAATGGATTTTTCTGTTTTTCCTATATATATTATATATATATATATATATATATATATATATATATATATATATAATGGACTCACGCATGAGGATCCAACAGTTCAGCTCCTGGAATTAAACAACCAGTCTACCCTACACATTTGAGTATAGCGGTGAAGTCTTGTGCACAACCATTCCAAACTCTTCTGAAGAAGTGAATACAGAGATCTGTTACACCATCCAAACATCTATAATGCACACACACATGCATTTTCTCTCTCTCTCTCTCTCTCACACACACACACACACACACAAACACACACACACACACACATATATATATATATATATATATATAATTAATACAAGTAAAAGTATAGGTATTTAGCTGATATATGTTACATTCACCATCCCGACTCCAGAGTTTCGTAGACAGATCCTCCGTTAATCAGTCAGCTCACACATCAGTGGGTATCAGCAATTGACTACTTTTTCATTGGTTCAAGTTAATCAATTTTATTAACCTATACATGACAATAAACAGATACATATACATGCACATGCATATAAAACACCCAGGGTCTGTGTGTGTGTGTGTTGTGTGTGTGTGTGTGTGTGTGTGTGTGTGTGTGTGTCTTTATTTATATATTGATCGGATTTCCTACATTTTCAACCGATTTCAACAAAACTTCACAGGACTACATAAAATTACCTTGTGGTGGTTCTAACAGCACCAAAATGAGAAAATATAATTGTTTTTGCACAAAATCAATTTGAAAACACGATTAAGAGACATCGTGAAAATGGAAGGGGTCAACTCACATCGGGTTGTTTGTGTCTGTGGGTTCCTTTAAATATAGGATCGGATTTCCTATATTTTTCAGCCGATAAAACAAAACTTCACTTTTCTTTTTTTTTTTTTTTAGGTAGTGTTTCTTATTCTCTTGCACACTTTTTTCTTTATTTTTAATATTCAGAATGCTTTAAAAATTCCATTTACAAGACAATTATTTATAATAAAATTCTATTCAATCGGGAGACTCATAACGATTGAAAACAATGTTTTTGTTTGAGTTTGGGTTTGACCAATTCGTAAAAAAAAAAAAAAAAATAATTAAGACATGCGTGTCCGTCGTCAACCTTAAACAATAATCTAACGATCTCTACTGATTGTACGAATACAAACGTCGAATAAATTCTTTATCTTTAGGGAAAGATAATGAAATCTAAACATACACAAGTCCTAACTAAAAATAATAACCGGAAACTACTTTAAATACACATGGTGTCCAATTTTTTTACTGTATTCAATAAGTAAACATCATAAATTGTAAAAGATTATTATTACAGAAAGGCTACTAAATGAATAAGATTTGTTAGATCATAATTAATAAAAACCCAAATAAAGTTAATATTTTTGTATTAGAAACAACGAGTGGAAAATATATTCAAATCAGAATTCTAATTATGAATCACCACAAACAAAATATGCAATTTTTTACTGTATTCAATAAGTAAAAATCATAAATTGTAAAACTAAAAGATTACAGAAAGGCTACCTACATTTTTCAACCGATTTCAACAAAACTTCACTTTTTTTTTTTTTTGGCATGTAGTGTTTCTTATTGTCTTGCACACTTTTTTTCTTTATTTTTACATTCAGAATGCTTTAAAAATTCGATTTACAAGACAATTGTTTATGATAAAATTCTATTCAATCGGTAGAGACTCATAACGATTGAAAACAATGTTTTTGTTTGAGTTTGGATTTGACCAATTCGTAAAAAATAAAAAAAAAAAAAAAAATAATTCAGACATGCGTGTCCGTCAACCTTAAACAATAATCTTTGTCAATTTTATTTTTTCAGTCTTTATGATGGTGGATACATGATCTATCTCTTACTGTTATATCCCCAGGCAACGCCGGGCTCTACTAACTAGTATATATATATATATATATATATATATATATATATATATATATATATATATATATATATATATATATGTATGTATATATATATATATTACTTGTAATGTATGTAACTTCAAATGTATTTGAGTTGAGAGACGTCCCATATTTTTAAACAGTGTTTATTTCGCTTACTTTTTGTGAGAAAAATTAATAAAGAAAATGTGCTCCCCGGCTGGATTCAAACTAGCATCCCACTTCGTCGGAGGGACCACCCTCTTATCTGGTATGCCTTAGATCAGATGGCTACGGAGAGCCTCACAGCCAAACCAATTTCTATTTGCCCTACAACAACATTCAGATTTTCACCGTTCAGATTTTCCATTGTCTTTATATATATATATATATATATATATATATATATATATATATATATATATAGGGATATATGGAAGAGACAGAGATAGTGAAAGGGGAAAAAATTTCCGTGTGACGTGTTTCGTTAAGGGACGAAACGTATCACGTGTAATCTATTTTGACTTTGTCATAAATTTTTTTCCCTGAAATTGCACTTGAAATAGTAAAATTTATATATTGTTTTCACACACACACACACACACACACACACACACACACACACACACACACACACACACACACATATATATATATATATATATATATATATATATATATATATATATATATAAACAGAAATAGCTAAAGAATCTATACTACAAAGATATAAGCTAAAGCTTAAAATCTAAAATAATTTGCGCGCTCAATGCCAAAGTAGGCAGAGCGTAAATATATTAGAATAATATTTTTAATACAATGATATTATTATAATTCATATATATATATATATATATATATATATATATATATATATATATATAATATAAAAAAATAAATTCACTTAAATTATGTGTAATTGTATGAATCAGAACTCTGAGTTTCAATCTTCAGCGGATTTCGTATGGAATTAAGTTATTAATGTACAAATAGTATTTTACCTTTTCTTCCCAACTTATTTATGTGACGTAAGATTAAAAGAAAATTTATAACTGACGTAAGGCTATTTATTGCACAACTGTACATATGCGTCACAAAGCCAAAATGGGGAGTGGGAAGGCTTATCGTCTCATTCGTCTTATCGTTAAGTTAGCTAACCTCAATCACTAACCCACTCGTTCGTATATTGATCCTTTCACCAAAACATCTCATCTACACAACAACGCCTTACACAGACACCATAATGCTCTAAGAAATACTAAAAATTAAACAAAATATTTTCCCAATGTTTATGAAATAAAAGCATTTACACAACTAAAGAAAACGAGTGTTAGTAAGTAGAACCACAGTTCAAACCATGCGAAAATTACTGCGGGAATAATAAAAGCTAGTCATGCAGACGTATTACATAAATTTACCCTCGAAAATATAAAACATCCCGCAATAATAAAGAACCGTCATCCCTGTCAACAAAAAAAACCGAAAATAAAAGTGGGCAAAAATAAAAGTGAGCAGATGACCATCCATACTGTAGCGAAGTTAAATTCAGAAGAAAAAAGCGACCTAAGCTAACCTATCAATGGACAGGAATGAGAAATGTCTAATCAGATAGCCAATGTCCTTAATCCTAGGTCACCTCTAGCTTCCGCTCTAAATTAACTCCTCTCTAATGCAAACCAAACGCGAAACATTCACCCACCTTTCGCCGAAATTTGCTGAAAAGATTCACTTCCATTCCGCTCTGATTTTGACTTTAAGCTGGTGTTTAAAGAACACAATCAGTTGAAAATAGGAAAACTTCTCGCCTCACGTAAGACTAAAATGTGTTTCACATTTGTTCAGAATTAATTTTTGACGTTGAAGTTGGAAGTATCTTATTTAAAACTTTGCAAATGTCTTCAATTGAATATAAAGATTTTTACCATCGGGACATTCAATTTTAGGGGAATTGTAGAAAAAAAAAGAAAAGAAAAGTTGGAATTATTAGCTCGTGACGTTAATAATTATCATATTGACTTATGTTGTCACCAAGAAACCAAAATCGAAGAAGGACTTGATATTAATATCGGAGTTAACACAAGTTAATAACTTTGGAAACAGCAAATATAGAAATAGTTTTGTAATCAATACCAATAATATCCATAGACATTGAATAAACAGCATATTATACACAATGCCATTAACAGAATCATCAATAAAATTCTATAATTATGTCAAACTTTGAAGAACAATTCAAGACTTGCAGCACTTTCGTGGGTTAACAAAACGTTTGGAGAGGGCTAAAGTTGCTGAAGATGAGAAATCACAATAATCTGCAGTTTGCCTTCAACTTGAAACAGCTCTCGTGATGATAATAATAGTTAAATCATATATTGACATAAAGCTTAAATGTTAATGGAATAAAAGTTTTTTTTCTTTTTGAGATGTTGATTTGATTAAATTTTAATATTAAATTCACAATAACCGATCCAATTGTCTGCACGCCCATTGGGTGATTTATTTGTAACGAAACACTAACGTTCAAAAATTTGTGAGAGGTCTTCAGTTATTTATTGTTATTTATTTATTTAATTTGTGAGAGGTCTCCAGTTATTTATTGTTATTTATTTATTTAATTTGTGAGAGGTCTTCAGTTATTTATTATTTATTTATTTGTGAAAGATATCCAGTTATTTATTGTTATTTATTTATTTAATTTGTGAGAGGTCTTCAGTTATTTATTGTTATTTATTTATTTAATTTGTGAGAGGTCCTCAGTTATTTATTGTTATTTATTTATTTAATTTGTGAGAGGTCTTCAGTTATTTATTGTTATTTAGTTAATTTGTGAGAGGTCTTCAGTTATTTATTGTTATTTATTTATTTAATTTGTGAGAGGTCTTCAGTTATTTATTATTTATTTATTTAATTTGTGAAAGGAATTCATTTATTTAGAAGTATATGTTTATTTATTTTATAGATATTTTTTAAAACATTGTTAGTGATTTTCACTTATATTTGCTACTGATTAATAGCATAATTATATATAAAACAATCCGTGAGTAACTAAATAACAAAACTAACTTTTCTATAAACACTTTCATGGTAATTGTTCTCATGTACTTTCCACTATAGTACTCTATGAATTGATGGCAAGATCTCATCATTTTACAGTTGAAAAGGTTAGATGTAACCGTAAGTTCTATGCTAACTGTTCCTTTTCTCCTTTATTGGTGGAATGATATATATATGTAAGATGGGAGGTGGGGGACGTAACACAATCAATTAGAATTTTACAGCGGGAGAAACCCCGAAGATGCATGAACGCTAAAGTTTACTTCAAATTTGAAACTTTTGGCGCCCGATATGTCTTGATGCCAAAACTAGTCGACCTTATTCAGCTTCCAACCGCTTTTTTATGGCTATTTTTTTTAAATAACCCCCCTTGTAATAGCAGTAGTTTTATTAAGAAAGGTGATACACTGTATAGCCCTGAACGTAAATTTAATGTGGAAGTCTCAGAAATTAGTTCACATCCTATATATTTTCGCTTCAATCAGTTACTTCCTACTTTAATTATTTTATCATTCAATCAATGTAGAGTTTCTATATCATATTCTTAAGAAACCATCCATCTATATCTATTTAAATGTGTTCATATCTATCTATCTGAATCTTTACATATCTATCTATCTATCTCTATCTCTGAATCTTTTCATCTATCTATCTATCTATCTATCTATCTGAATCTTTTCTATCTATCTATTCATCTATCCATTCTTTTCATATCATCTATCTATCTATCTATCTATCTGAATCTTTTCATTTCATCTCTATCTTTCCTATCTATCTATCTATCTATCTATCTGAATCTTTTCATATCTATCTGAATCTTTACATATCTATCTATCTATCTATCTATCTATCTGAATCTTTTCATATCTATCTAATCTATCTGATCATCTTTCTGAATCTTCTATCTATCTATCTATCTATCTGAATCTTTTCATATCTATCTATCTATCTATCTGAATCTTTTCATCTATCTATCTATCTATCTATCCATCTATCTGTATCTGAATTTTCATATCTATCTGAATCTTTTGTATCTATCTATCTATCTATCTATCTATCTATCTGAATCTTTTCACATCTATCTGAATCATTATATATCTATCTATCTGAATCTTTTCATATTCATCTATCTATCTATCACATCTATCATCTATCTGAATCTTTTCATATCTATCTATCATCTTTCCATCTATCTATCTATCTGATCTATCTATCTAATCTTCACATCATTATCTATCTATCTATCAGAATCTTTTCATATCTATCTAAATCTTTACATATCTATCTATCTATCTGAATCTTTTCATATCTATCTAAATCTTTACATATCTATCTATCTATCTGAATCTTTTCATATCTATCTATCTATCATTCATCTATCTGAATCTTTTCATATCTATCTATCTATCTATCTGAATCTTTTCATATCTATCTATCTATCTGAATCTTTTCATATCTATCTATCTATCTATCTATCTATCTATCTATCTATCTATCTATCTAAATCTTTTCATATCTATCTGAATCATTACATATGTATCTATCTATCTGAATCTTTTCATATCTATCTATCTGTCTGTCTATCTATATTTTTCAGTCTGTTCATATCTAGCTAGCTATCTAGCTATCTGAGTTTGTTCATATCTAAGTCTGTTTATAGCTATCTCTACTCTCTTCATCTAAGTCTGTTTATAGCTATATCTACTCTCTTTATCTATCTATCTATTTATCTATCTATCTATTTATGTCTAGTCATATGTATCTATCATTAATCTAAATCTAGCTAGCTGAGAGAGAAAAATGGGTATGACTTATCTATCATTTGCTACAAAATATAAAATTAATTTCATATCTATGACTGAGTATGCATGTTTATATATTTGTAATGTATGTATATTTATCTATGAGTTTTGTGTGTTTACGAATCGGTAATGAGTGTTTTAAGCATTGTATATTAGTATGCTTTCCTGTCTGTCTGTTTTTTTTTTTTAAAAAGAAGTGTGTATTTAAAACGGATTATCTAAAATTGATGTCAATCTCCTTTTTGCTCAGACATTTGCTTTTCGTAAAACGTGGTTGTACATACATGTCATCTCAGAACATTTTATGCGTAAACACAGCAGCAGCATTGCTGCTCTTGCGTGCAATTCGTGTGACGTTAACGTTTGTGCAAGTTTTACAATCTGTTCCTGTTTGATCTCTGTATACGTAAGACGTGCGCCCGTTTACATTTATTTGTGCAGACATGCGTTTTAAGATACTCACCTATTACGCGTTTGTGCGCGTGCGTAATCGTTGGCAGTGATGTGTAGTTTTATGTTATCCTCTGTGTACACACAGACGAGCGTATATATATATATATATATATATATATATATATATATATATATATTAGATCATTTTTTATTAGTTGATAAAAGATAGAAGATACTGTTAACGCGTGTAGAATATCAAGGTAAAAAGTATTGTTTTCTTCCATTTTGTATATAAATTCTATTGTATATTCGACTTTGTTTAGTTTATCTACAAAATCAAGTAAAAAATCAGTATCACGGGATATATTAATAGAACATTATCAGTACATCATAAGTATGTTGATTGTTTAAGTTAAATATTTTAGAAAGGAGCAGATTTGAGAAATTCTAAAAAAATACATGATCTCACTTTGCTAAGTGGCGATCCATTGGTAATCAAATTTTGTTTGTAAAAATTATTATTAATTGTGGAATAGCATTGATTTGTGACTTACCTGGTCTTGGAGGTTAAACTAAACAAAGTCGAACATAAAATAGAATTTACATACGAAATGGAAAAAACAATACTTTACCTTTCCTAGATATCATGCTACCCACGTTAACGGTAGCTTAAAACTTAGTGTCCACCGAAAATTAACTAACAAAAATGATTTCATAAATTTCCACTCCATCATAACAATATATATATATATATATATATATATATATATATATATATTGTTTATTGCCTACTGAGTTTTGTAAGAGGGGAAATTGCACGCGTTTGACCCACACAAAAATGCTGCAGATTAGAAAAGACAGAAAGCTGAATAAAACGGTTCTTAAGAAGTGAGGTCGAAGAATAAGAAATGATAAAAAACGAATAGTAGTAATAATAATAATAAAAGCGGGATTATTAGAAGATTGAAAATAAACTAAAATAAAGAGAAAAAAATCTGAAAATAATGAAGGACACCCGTGAGAGGTATAGAGAAAAACGAGGAGGAGCAGGGGAGAAAAGAAAAAAAGAATAAACTCAATCAAAAAGTAGTCAGAGTAAAGAAATGCAGATGGTAGGCGAAGGGAGGGAAGAGGGGAAGCTACGGGCATGCGCACTAGTTGTTTACAACTTGCAGCAGCAATCGCTTACGTGACCTGTTTTTCTCATCCCCTCCTCACCGTCCTCCTCTTTATTTTGTTTTTTTTTTCTTGTTTTGTTTCTGGTTCTCTCTCTCTCTCTCTCTCTCTCTCTCTCCCTCTCTTTTCGTTCTCTCATTCCTATCACTTTTCTCTTCTTTTTTTTCCTCCTGTTTATTCCGTTCTTCTCTTCTTTGGACTTGAATTATCCTTCCACATTTCTCAACTTGTCTTTTCTTCTTGGTTTTAAATCGCTTGCTCCCTCACTGGCGTTTATTTTCGTTTCTCGTTCGACATTCAAATATTCCTCCTTTGCTTCTTTCAGTGTCATTTTAGTTTGTCTATAAACCTGTTCATCTTGGTTTTGTTCGGCTTTATCTCCCAGTCTATACGTACATAATGCATATCTATGCCAGATCAGATCTCATATCTGTCTATCTATATACCATCTATTCGCATCTTAGTTAGTGATCCAGAAACCTTTGGAAATTGATCCAGTCTGTTCATATTTATTTTCCACCTGCTTCTTGATGTATGAAACAATCGTATCTTTCGCTTCGTCCAGTACCCAAATCAAATTTAGACTTAAACCAGGAAAAAAAACTGGATTCAGGCATAAAGAAAAGGGTTCACAATCCATAAAGAAACTTAAAAAAGATTTCAGAATTGAACTGAATGAAGGGATTTTAAAATTCTGTCGTGTTTTTTTTTTCTCACGTTCTCTCTCTCTCTCTCTCTCTCTCTCTCTATATATATATATATATATATATATATATATATATATATAGATAGATAGATAGATATAGATAGATAGATAGATATCAGGAGGAGATAAACTCAAAGCATTTCCAATCACCCTAGAAGGAGGCTTCTCCAACCACGACAATCTTAATATTTCAAGTCTAGAGTCAGCCAAATTATTTTCCCCCATATCCCCATAAAAGCCTCCACTCTGTAACCCTCTACTTCAGTGGCTCTTAGGCTTTACAGGTGAACATCATTGTAAAAAAAAAGTATAAATCAAGCTCTGTTCTCAAGGTAAACTAACCACCCCCACAAAATTGGGAAATTTGCACAACGCCGGCTTCATTCAATATATTCAATTTATTTCTAAATTCTGTTAAAAAAGCTAGTTAATATCTAATATCAATTCATCCCTGTTTCTCTCCCCACCTCCCCACCCTCTCTCTCTCTCTTTACCCTTTTTTTCTTTCCTTTATTCTATTCATTATCCTTTCCAACCCTCCCTGCCTCTAACTCCTCATTCATCTTTTCTCTTCTCCTTACATACCTCCATTTATTTCTCCTTCATTCATTTCAGTAGATCACGTCCGCATCTCTTTCTCGTGACAATATAACATTTCTCTTCCACTGACAAATTCAATTATTGTCTCTTTTCCTTCGTCTGGTAATTTCGTTCATTCGTTCATTTCCCGTACTTCCCTCTTTCTTCTCTCCTTCCGTAATTCAGTCATACCTCGATTTTTCCTCCTACATCAATAAAATTCCTTGAATAGCTAACGCACACTCACACGGTAGAGATGTTTGTAAATACAAAAATGACAATGATTAAAAAACTACAGGAAGGGAATAGAAAAGAATAGAGGAATGAAAGGATTGAAGAAACCGATTAAGATATTTGCTGTTCTTTTTTTTTTTAATTGTGCTTACACACACACACACACACACACACACACACACACACACACATATATATATATATATATATATATATATATATATATGTATGTATACAAGTACTTGGGCTAAAAAAATTCAGCTCCTCAACTACGACGAATTTTCATCTGCTTTATCAAAGCGATTAGACAACTGAAAAAGGATCAGTATAAAAATAAAGTAGAAACAATATGTCTATATTCAATGAAACGTGTTTGAATATATATATATATATATATATATATATATATATATATATATATTTGTAATAGGGAAAAAAAAAGCATCAGTCGGATGCTAGTGAAATATTTAAAATCTTGGATCTCTACGATTCCGAAGATTGTTTTTTTTTTGAGAAGCCTGGCTCTAATAAATTTAAAATGTTTGCTATCCCAGCCTTTGCAGTATGTATTTTAAAATAAGCTGGACAAACATGGGCTATAAATAGAAGGAAATAAATTCGAATTTTAATAGAAACTCAGGTTTAACCCAATTCTGTTAAAATCACAACTGAAATCTTGCAGCTTCAGCATTTTTATATTTTCCTCATTTTCACTTTTTTCTATTTCATTCTTTCAAGCTAAAATGACTGTCCTCTCATCTATCCTATCTCTCTATCTGTTTCTCTCTCTCTCTCTCTCTCTCTCTCTCTCTCTCTCTCTCTCTATCTATCTGTCTATCTATCTATCTAAGTCTGTTCATATGATTTACCTTATTCAGTTACAAAGTCTGATGAGTGGGGCATGTTGTGGGGAAGATATAAGGTTCATATTCGCTTCTGCATTTATGGTCAGTATATCTTATTAACCATTAACGTAACGAGTTGCTTATGTTTGCTACTATTCAATAATCAAATTTTAGTTTAAGTACAACTTAACTTACGTGAGGCACTCAGTGAATCAGCGAACTCAAAATAGCAGTAACAGTCTACCCGATGGCAACTTGCAGTGTAGAGACACAAAATGTATAATTTCTTGCTTATCTATCTATCTATCTATCTATCTATCTATTGCTTTTGTTCATAAACTGTATTTGTCTCTTTTCTTTTTTCTTTTCTTTTCCTCGATAAACACAGTGACCCCCCTTGGCTTTCGATATTAAGTGGTCAGTGTTGTAATTTGGATAAAGACCAGAATTTAATATTCTGATCGTTGAGATAAGCTGTCGCTATACAATCTTCCTAAACGTTTACTGTCATTTTCATATTTATAAATCGGCTTTTTCTCAAATATAATCTATTCATCGATATCTTCTCATTCTCTCTCTCTCCCTATCTCTCTCTCTCTCCTAGATAGATGAATAGATAGATGAATATAGATCCTCAAATATAATATATAAACTCTATATACCAGACTAATTGTATGTAATTGAATGGCAACGAAAAAATGCCATTTTCAAGTTTCATCTTTCAAAAGGTTTGATGAAGTCCTTTTGAATGACTCTACGCGTTTCATAAATTTTTTTCCATTTTGCCATTCAATTACACACGACCATAGATAGATAGATAGATAGATATCTTCATCTGATAATTAGATAGTAAACTTTTTCCAATCTGGTACAAACTTTAATTGATATAATCACGTGAAAATCGAACTCACTACACTCATTTTTATCATCTTCCATCAGATTGCTTTTGTCTTTTTTTTCATCATCGTCGATTTCTCCGGGAGGTAAGATTTATAAAATTGTTAAGGGCTTCCATTTCAAGGTGAAACTTTTTCCTCTTTTCCTGAAAAACTTGCAACGATAAAGAATTGGTCAGAAAATTTATTAGATGAAGTGCTCCAAAAAGACGTCGATTATTGAATGTTATTACTTATGGACGTATTATTGCAGATTATAGGAATATGGTGATGATAATGGGTTGACCTTAAAAGCTTAGAATCCTTACCTGTCCAGGGCATTTTCGTGCGTACTATCCAAATGTTCATGCTTGTTTTTATATTTATAGTGCAAGGCAACACAGCTTACAAAAACGTACAAATCATGAGTTATTTACACTACGCTGTGAGCATCACTTATGTGCAGAGGTTTTTTATTAACACTATAACATACATCAGTAGATTATATTTGCCAAATAAGCTGAGATGTTTTGCAGTAGTTATCCTCTTGAAAGGTCTGGAACTAGTGGATTTAAGAATACAGCTTAATAACATTTTCCATGCAAATAACAGAATAAATATAGGCTTGCTTGTAAAGTTGACTGCTGGAATTCGAGTTTGTAGGATGGAAATAATACATCGTCTTCAATCTAGAGAAACGGCATTGGAATTTATCGAGTGGGATTGAGCAACTTCAGGCGAAATATGACAGAAATACCATAATTTGCTTTAGCTGATCTGGCACCTTAAAGATAGATTACTAGATGTTTCTTCGGATACTTTCAAAGCCGGTATTGTAAATTCCTGCTTCGGGTTTCAGGCTGTTATGATTTTGTTTTACGTTATTTAAATGTCTTTTGTTTGTTTATTTTTTTTTTTGAAATTGTTTTTTTCGTAGTTGTAACAAATTTTATGTTAAGCTTAGATAAATTCTTTTCAATTGTAGTCGTTATTGGGTTGGTAGGTAATATTATTGGAACCTAGTTTTATCAACATTACTGATATTATTTTCTTTTTCTAATTCTATGAATGCGACTAGCTTTATCCTTTGTGTTATAGATGAAATAATTAGGCTATAGGAGGATTTAAAACCGTTTTCAATGTATTCAACAAATGTTACAAATTCCAGGTGATCTTATATATATGAGATGGCCTGAAGATTGGTGTGGACCGCATTGTCCAATCTTATATTTCATGCACAAGCTTCTATCCCGGATTACTTTTTTACTCATAATGCGCGCATACCTCAAAACTATATATATATATATATATATATATATATATATATATATATATATATATATATATATATATATATATATATATATGTATTATTCCAGCTATGGATAAATAGCAGGATAGACTGGTTCTATCGCCTTAGATGGCAATAAGGCTCGGAGAAGGACAACTGTGAATTTCAAACCTGCGGAGGGTTTTGGGGGACCTTGTAATCACTTATTGTTATTTTGTCTCTGTATTCAACCCTTCAAAAAGTGTGGATGGTTTTACAAAACCTTCACCACTATAATCAAATCTCATGTGCTGGTGTCGGGCTGTCATTTTCTAGGAAAATCTGCTTCACCCTCATACGTCGAATTCGACGGTGGGGGGGGATGGCTTTTCACTATATATATATATATATATATATTTATCTACCAAATTGTAATTCGTTTGGATTATTTCAAAGAGTACTTTTATTCAATATAGGAGCTCAGTATATTATACAGATTAAATTATAATAATAATTAGAAAAATCTTCAAAGGGTCTAGTCAGTAATAAATTTATTATGATGGATTTTTAAACATATTCATCTCATCTGAATGACTACATTTTGACTGAAAAAATAATTTCATAGTTTTTTTTATTTTGTGTTATAGATGAAATAATTAGGCTATAGGAGAGATTTAAAAAGTATTTTCAAGATATGAAAAGGATTTTAAAGTATTTTCAAAAAAAAAAAAAAAAATGAAAACAATTTTTCATAAAATTTAGTTTGTAAGGTGTGATGTATCAATATGCCTATATTCACCGAAATAAATTTATTACCGACAATGGATTTTAATTGTTTTCTTGTTATATATATATATATATATATATATATATATATATATATAATATATAAAAAAGGACTGACGTTGAGGATCAACAGTTCAGCTCCTGGAATTAAACAACCAGTCTACCCTACACATTTGAGTATATAGCGGTGAAGTCTTGTGCATAACCATTCCAAACTCTTCTGAAGAAGTGAATACAGAGATCTGTTACACCATCAAAACATCTATAATCACACACACATGCATTTCTCTCTCTCTTCCCACACACACACACACACAAACACACACACACACACATATATATATATATATATATAATTAATACAAGTAAAAGTATAGGTATTTAGCATAATATCATACATTCACCATCCGACTCCAGAGTTTCTTATTGATCCTCCGTTAATCAGTCAGCTCACACATCAGTGGGTTTCAGCAATTGACTACCCTTTTCATTGGTTCAAGTTAATCAATTTTATTAACCTATACATGACAATAAACAGAAACATATATACATTCTACATCTTACTTATTATAAAACGCAGATTGTGTGTGTGTGTGTGTGTGTGTGTGTGTGTGTGTGTTTATATATTGGATCAGTTTCTACATTTTTTCAACCGATTTCAACAAAACTTCACAGGACTACAAAATTACCTTGTGGTGGTTCTAACAGCACCAAAAATGGGAAAAATATAATTGTTTTTGCACAAAATCAATTTGAAAACACGATTAAGAGACATCGTGAAAATGGAAGGGGTCAACTCACATCGGGTTGTTTGTGTGTGTGGGTTCCTTTAAATATAGGATCGGATTTTATTTTTCAGCCGATAAAACAAAACTTCACTTTTTTTTTTTTTTTTTTTTTTTTTTGTAGGTAGTGTTTCTTATTCTTGCACACTTTTTTCTTTATTTTTAATATTCAGAATGCTTTAAAATTCCATTTTACAAGACAATTATTTATAATAAAATTCTATTCAATCAGGAGACTCATAACGATTGAAAACAATGTTTTTGTTTGAGTTTGGGTTTGACCAATTCGTAAAAAAAAAAAAATAAATAAGACATATGCGTGTCCGTCGTCAACCTTAAACAATAATCTAACGATCTCTACTACTGATTGTACGAATACAAACGTCGAATAAATTCTTTATCTTTAGGGAAGATAATGAAATCTAAACATACACAAGTCCTAACTAAAAATAATAACCGGAAACTACTTTAAATACACATGGTGTCCAATTTTTACTGTATTCAATAAGTAAAAATCATAAATTGTAAAAGATTATTATTACAGAAAGGCTACTAAATGAATAAGATTTGTTAGATCATAATTAATAAACCCAAATAAAGTTAATGTTTTTTTGTATTAGAAACAACGAGTGGAAAATATATTCAAATCAGAATTCTAATTATGAATCACCACAAACAAAATATGCAATTTTTTTACTGTATTCAATAAGTAAAAATCATAAATTGTAAAACTAAAAGATTACAGAAAGGCTACCTACATTTTTCAACCGATTTCAACAAAACTTCACTTTTTTTTTTGGCATGTAGTGTTTCTTATTGTCTTGCACACTTTTTTTCTTTATTTTTACATTCAGAATGCTTTAAAAATTCCATTTACAAGACAATTGTTTATGATAAAATTCTATTCAATCGGTAGAGACTCATAACGATTGAAAACAATGTTTTGTTTGAGTTTAACCAATTTGTAACCAATTCGTAAAAAAAAAAAAAAAAAAATTCAGACATGCGTGTCCGTCAACCTTAAACAATAATCTTTATCAATTTTATTTTCAGTCTTTATGATGGTGGATACATGATCTATCTCTTACTGTTATATCCCCAGGCAACGCCGGGCTCTACTAGTATATATATATATATATATATATATATATATATATATATATATATATATATATATATATATATATGTATGTATGTATGTATATATATATATTACTTCAAATATGTATAACCGTATTTGAGTAGACATCCCATGTTTTAAAATGAGTGTTTGCTTCGCTTACTTTTTTGGACTCTAAATTAATAAAAGAAAATGTGCTCCCCGGCTGGATTCAAACTAGCATCCCACTTCGTCGGAGGGACCAATTCTCTTATCTGGTATGCCTTAGATCAGATGGCTACGGAGAGCCTCAGCCAAACCAATTTCTATTTGCCCTACAACAACATTCAGATTTTTTTCACCGTTCAGATTTTCCTTTATATATATATTTATATATATATATATATATATATATATATATATATATATATGTATGTATATATATGGAGAAAGAGACAGAGAGATAAAAGGGGAAAAATTCCCGTGTGACGTGTTTCGTTAAGGGACGAAACGTATCACGTAATCTATTTTGACTTTGTCATAAATTTTTTTCCCTGAAATTGCACTTGAAATAGTAAAATTTATATATTGTTTTCACACACACACACACACACACACACACACACACACACACACACACACACACACATATATATATATATATATATATATATATATATAATATATATATATATAAACAGAAATAGCAAAGAATCTATACTACAAAGATATAAGCTAAAGCTTAAAATCTAAAATAATTTGCGCTCAATGCCAAAAGTAGGTAGCGTAAATATATTAGAATAATATTTTTAATACAATGATATTATTATAATTCATATATATATATATATATATATATATATATATATATATATATATATATATAATTAAAAATAAATTCATTAAATTATGTGTAATTGTATGAATCAGAAATCTGAGTTTCAATCTTCAGTGGATTTCGTAACAAATTAAGTTATTAATGTACAAATAGTATTTTACCTTTTCTTCCCAACTTATTTATGTGACGTAAGATTAAAGAAAATTTATAACTGACGTAAGGCTATTTATTGCACAACTGTACATATGCGTCACAAAGCCAAAATGGGGGGGGAAGGCTTATCGTCTCATTCGTCTTATCGTTAAGTTAGCTAACCTCAATCACTAACCCACTCGTTCGTATATTGATCCTTTCACCAAAACATCTCATCTACACAACAACGCCTTACACAGACACCATAATGCTCTAAGAAATACTAAAATTAAACAAAATATTTTCCCAATGTTTAAGCAAATAAAGCATTTACACAACTAAAGAAAACGAGTGTTAGTAAGTTTTACCACAGTTCAACCATGAAAATTACCTCAGGAATAATAAAAAGCTAGTCATGCAGACGTATTACATAAATTTGACCCTTCGAAAATATAAAACATCCCCAAAAATTTAAAGAACCGTCATCCCTGTCAACAAAAAAGGGAGGAGAAAAACCGAAAATAAAAGTGGGCAAAAAATAAAAGTGAGCAGATGACCATCCATACTGTTACGAAGTTAAATTCAGAAGAAAAAAATGCGATTTAAAATAACCTATCAATGGATAGGAATGAGGAAATGTCTAATCAGATAGCCAATGTCCCTAATCCTAGGTCACCTCTAGCTTCCCGCTCTAAATTAACTCCTCTCTAATGCAAACCAAACGCGAAACATTCACCCCCACCTTTCGCCGAAATTTTTGAAAAAGATTCACTTCCATTCCGCTCTGATTTTGACTTTAAGCTGGTGTTTAAAGAACACAATCAGTTGAAAATAGGAAAACTTCTCGCCTCCCGTAAGACTAAAATGTGTTTCACATTTGTTCAGAATTAATTTTGACGTTGAAGTTGGAAGTATCTTATTTAAAACTTTGCAAATGTCTTCAATTGAATATAAAGATTTTTACCATCAGGACATTTTCAATTTTAGGGGAAATAAAAAAAAAAAAAAAAAAAAAGTTGGAATTATTAGCTCGTGACGTTAATAATTATCATATTGACTTATGTTGTCACCAAGAAACCAAAAATCGAAAAAGACTTGATATTAATATCGGGTTAACACAAGTTAATAACTTTGGAAACAGCAAATATAGAAATAGTTTTGTAATCAATACCAATAATCCATAGACATTGAATAAACAGCATATTATACACAATGCCATTAACAGAATCATCAATAAAATTCTATAATTATCTGTCAAACTTTGAAGAACAATTCAAGACTTGCAGCACTTTCGTGGGTTAACAAAACGTTTGGATAGCTAAAGTTGAAGATGAGAAATCACAACAATCTGCAGTTTGCCTTCAACGAAACAGCTCTCGTGATGATAATAATAGTTAAATCATATATTGACATAAAGCTTAAATGTTAATGGAATAAAAGTTTTTTCTTTTTTGAGATGTTGATTTGATTAAATTTTAATATTAAATTCACAATAACCGATCCAATTGTCTGCACGCCCATTGGGTGATTTATTTGTAACGAAACACTAACGTTCAAAAATTTGTGAGAGGTCTTCAGTTATTTATTATTATTTATTTATTTAATTTTGTGAGAGGTCTCCAGTTATTTATTGTTATTTATTTATTTAATTTGTGAGAGGTCTTCAGTTATTTATTATTTATTTATTTGTGAAAGATATCCAGTTATTTATTGTTATTTATTTATTTAATTTGTGAGAGGTCTTCAGTTATTTATTGTTATTTATTTATTTAATTTGTGAGAGGTCCTCAGTTATTTATTGTTATTTATTTATTTAATTTGTGAGAGGTCTTCAGTTATTTATTGTTATTTAGTTAATTTGTGAGAGGTCTTCAGTTATTTATTGTTATTTATTTATTTAATTTGTGAGAGGTCTTCAGTTATTTATTATTTATTTATTTAATTTGTGAAAGGAATTCATTTATTTAAAGTATATGTTTATTTATTTTATAGATATTTTTAAAATATTGTTAGTGATTTTCACTTATATTTGCTACTGATTAATAGCATAATTATATATAAAACAATCCGTGAGTAACTAAATAACAAAACTAACTTTTCTATAAACACTTTCATGGTAATTGTTCTCATGTACTTTCCACTATATAGTACTCTATGAATTGGCAAGATCTCATCATTTTACAGTTGAAAAGGTTAGATGTAACCGTAAGTTCTATGCTAACTGTTCCTTTTCTCCTTTATTGGTGGAATGATATATATATGTAAGATGGGAATTGGGGACGTAACACAATCAATTAGAATTTTACAGCGGAGAAACCCCGAAGATGCATGAACGCTAAAGTTTGCTTCAAATTTGAAACTTTTGGCGCCCGATATGTCTTGATGCCAAAACTAGTCGACCTTATTCAGCTTCCAACCGCTTTTTTTATGGCTATTTTTTTTAAATAACCCCCCCTTGTAATAGCAGTAGTTTTATTAAGAAGGTGATACACTGTATAGCCCTGAACGTAAATTTAATGTGGAAGTCTCAGAAATTAGTTCATCCTATATATTTCGCTTCAATCAGTTACTTCCTACTTTAATTATTTTATCATTCAATCAATGTAGAGTTTCTATATCATATTCTTAAAGAAACCATCCATCTATATCTATTTAAATGTGTTCATATCTATCTATCTGAATCTTTGCTATCATCTATCTATCTATCTATCTATCTGAATCTTTTCATATCTATCTATCTATCTATCTATCTATCTATCTATCTATCTATCTGAATCTTTTCATATCTATCTATCTATCTATCTATCTGAATCTTTTCATATCTATCTATCTATCTATCTATCTATCTATCTATCTGAATCTTTTCATATCTATCTGAATCTTTACATATCTATCTATCTATCTATCTATCTTCTGAATCTTTCATATCTATCTATCTATCTATCTATCTATCTGAATATTTTCATATCTATCTATCTATCTATCTATCTGAATCTTTTCATATCTATCTATCTATCTATCTATCTGAATCTTTTCATATCTATCTGAATCTTTACATATCTATCTATCTATCTGAATCTTTTCATATCTATCTATCTATCTATCTATCTATCTATCTGAATCTTTTCATATCTATCTATCTATCTATCTATCTATCTGAATCTTTTCATATCTATCTATCTATCTATCTATCTATCTATCTGAATCTTTTCATATCTATCTGAATCTTTACATATCTATCTATCTATCTGAATCTTTTCATATCTATCTGAATCTATTATATATCTATCTATCTGAATCTTTTCATATCTATCTGAGTCTTTACATATCTATCTATCTATCTGAATCTTTTCATATCTATCTAAATCTATCTATCTATCTATCTATCTATTCAATCTTTTCATATCTATCTATCTATCTATCTATCTATCTTCAATCTTTTCATATCTATCTATCTATCTTTTTCATATCTATCTATCTATCTGAATCTTTCATATCTATCTATCTATCTATCTGAATCTTTTCTATCTATCTATCTATCTATCTATCTTTTTGAATCTTTCTATCTATCTGAATCTATCTATCATATCTATCTATCTAATCTGAATCTTTTCATATCTATCTATCTGTCTGTCTATCTATATTTTCAGTCTGTTCATATCTAGCTAGCTATCTAGCTATCTGAGTTTGTTCATATCTAAGTCTGTTTATAGCTATCTCTACTCTCTTCATCTAAGTCTGTTTATAGCTATATCTACTCTCTTTATCTATCTATCTATTTATCTATCTATCTATTTATGTCTAGTCATATGTATCTATCATTAATCTAAATCTAGCTAGCTGGAGAGAGAGAAAATGGGTATGACTCTATCTATCATTTGCTACAAAATATAAAATTAATTTCATATCTATGACTGAGTATGCATGTTTATATATTGTAATGTATGTATATTTATCTATGAGTTTTGTGTGTTTACGAATCGGTAATGAGTGTTTTAAGCAT